AAAAAAACCAACCACTCAACACTGAAAATGGATAGAGAAAACCCTCACTGGAGAAAGGGCTGGAAAGGACTTTGCATCTTAAAGTTAATTTCCATGAAAGGAAATACACATCTAATTCACGCAAGCTGTCTTTTTTAGAAGATTAATAACTGCATAAAATTCCCTAAGTAAATAAATACCATCAAATAAATACACCTGCCTGTAACCTCATATTCTTTAAAGCTTACATTAGAGGATATTTTATATGGTGAGAAATATAAACAAAACAGATTAAAAATCTTCGCTCATCTATTTACAGAACTATGACAATTTCAGAACAAAAGCCTGATTAAACAAGCAGAGAAAAAATCCTTATGTTGCTTGTGGTAAACACGTCAAAATGTGACAAGCATCATCTCCAAGATCTACATTTACTTTTCTTTACTGTAGTTCATTATCAGGGATAAAAGTTTAAAAAAATAATGACATGAAAGACAAAAATTAAACAAAACTAGGTAAACATGAGAAGGGGAAACTTGGCCTACACGGAACACTAAGCTAATTTTTAATTTGTTTTCCTATGTTTTTTAACACAAATCTTGTGACTGCATTGTGGGTGGTTTATTTGTTGAAAGGAAGATAAGAATGCGAGATGCTTAACAGTGGCCAAGGTTTTTGAGGGGTTGTGCTACAAAGTGTCTAATGGTCTCTGTTAATGGATTTCCCAGCACAGCTGGCAAGCTAATATTCCAAAGACAACTGCAATAATTCTAAGGGCTTTGGTCCTTGACATTAGCTCATTCATTATTTGACTTCTTTTGTAAGCTCCATTTTCGACACTGTTGCCATCTTAAAAAGGACAAGTCACAACAAGGGGAGAAATTGAGAGGATTTAGTCTTAAGTTTGAGTGCCTGGTCTGCCTAGGTATAACGTACTAATGAAGGATCAACGTGCAGAAACATGGTTCCTATCGCAACAAATAATTCACCAAAATACAGGAGAGCAATTATCAGAAATTATAACCCATTTTCAAGCAGAGAAAGATACAACAACAACTGGTCTGCTGAAGTAAGTCTGCAAGGAGTAACAATTAGCTCTAAATGCAAGAAAAATTCAAGCTTTTGGTTACTAACTTCGCAACACTGTAGACGGAAGTGAAAAAATTGCAACTCTCTTTTCCCTCGTAGGACAAAAGAAAGGCACTTTCACAAATGTACCAGCAGAAAGACTCATCTACCCCGTGAATACAAAAAGGCAAGTCGTCAACTCTTTTCCATTGTTGTGCAACCCAGAGTTTCAATATCAAATTCGGAGGATTTGGGGCTTGAGGGATTCTCGGGATTATTTTCCGGGGCTAATGATGAACGGTTCATATTTGTACACAGCAATCCTTAAACAACCGAAGTCCAGCATTACATTCACTCATGCTACAACTCTGCTTGGAGTGGCTTTGCAAAACTATAATTGGCTGGTATCAAAGAGGACTAGTCATAATTCCAACAGCTACGACTGCAACAGAACTTAATTTGGGATGTGAGCAAGCACTTGATTGGAATAATCTGCATCCGTTCATTTTATTAAAACCCAAGGAATGCAAAACAGAACTGTATTCATTATAAGAAAGATTTTCCTTTCTATGCCTTTTAAACAATGCAGTAGACTTATTCAGGTGAATTTCCACACTCAAGGCAATTTGTGAATTAATTAGATAGTACTTACAAAATATACTGAAAATGGAAATCACTGCTGCATATAAATGATATGTATTAATGTAACACAGTCTCAAACCGTAAAGACGACACATTTCAGCACAAAATTAAGCATGGCTAATCAACACTGGATTAAAAGAGTCACTAAATTTCACAATTCTGTATTTCACTAAAAGGATTGTTTAAGAATCTAAAGTAAATCTGATCAAACACTAAATGTAGGACACCTCCGACTACTAACTGCCAACATAAAATAATCAATTCCTAAAGATATGAAGGTCCCCAAAATGTAAAAAATTACATTTATAATTACAAAAAGAGACTTGACTCATTCACTTAAGAAAAAATATCCCTGTTCCATATTGAAATATTAACCAGGAATTAACATTTTAAAAGAATCCATGAGATTACTTTCTCAAACAAAACTACAGAACAGTTTTTGCTTTCTCTGAAGTCTCTGATGATTCACTGTTACTCCCTTTTTTTTTTAAGTACATGGTAAAGAGTTACTAAAAATGTGTTTAAGCCATGAACAAACAAACAAAACCTTGATTTTTTTTTTTTAAATCCAACAAACATTTTTTATTTTTCCTGCTACCCTGAAGAAAAACTCACTGCATGTTTGCAGACAAAGTTGGTTGAAGTATTTTACTCAGAGGCTGGCATATCTGATGTTATTTCTCCTCAGAGTACTGTGATCTCATTGACCAAAATATGGCAATTATCCACAGGAGGTAACAGGAAGACGTGTATCAAGTATATTCATACCATGGTTCCCCTGTATTAACAAATGTCTTTATATAACTTGAATATAAACAGTCTATGAGAAATTATATGATAAATATAAATATTGCTTAGAATCACAGTATTCAATTAAATCCCTAATATTTTGCGTCAAATCACAGAAACTGATAAATATAAATCCTCTTTTCCAGATGGCATATCAGATCTTACCAGCTGCTGTTGACTAGTAAAATAGCTTTCAAAAACCAATATGGCACATAAGTATATTCCTTTATCCAATTATACATGAAGAAATTGTTCCTTAAAAGGGACAATATCATCTATGCAAAACTCTGCTTTACCTCACACAAAGGCATTAAAACAGTGAAAAAGTATATCTAGAAAACATACAAAACTTTCCTTCAATACTATAAAATGGCCACAGATGACAATTTGTTTGTATTTTCAGAAATAAAAAGGAGGAAACATAAGTACAGCAATTACCAATAGCTCAACAGGTTTTTCAAAATATAAGTTCATACAGAAATAGCCAGATATTTCACACACACGTAGCACAAAACAGAAAGCAAAAATGCTGATACAAAACATGTTCAGTGAGCAATCCAAAGTGGGACAACCCAAAGAAAATTAAGATTTGGGTACTTCTACTGCAAAGTGTTCCCCAAAGAAGTAAGGGAAAACAAACACAATAATTCTCCTCCAGAAGTGAAATGAGGGACTTACAGAGAAACAGAACATCACCAGCGGCCATGCTTAACTTTTCTCAAGAATGGAAACTTTTCAAACTTTTTTCTGGATAGGTTCCCTTTAGACGAAATTGGTGTAAGTTGCATTGATGGAGACAGACAAATTTCTACAGTTACTCCAATTTAACTATTAGTTAGACCACTACTAATGGTTATTAGCAAAATTATTAGAAGGCTTTCTTATTCTGAGTTGTTGCAAACTTGTATGGTGTCCAGAATTACTTTATACTTTTCTGCAGCCAACGACATGGGCTGCCTTCAAGCAGAGGCTCCTAAAAGTATCATAAGGTCCCCTACAGAGTGGAGCTTTCTCAGACGTAGAACTTGGTAGGGGTACCTTACATGTGAGGAATGAAGCCTACAAGTCCCATAGAAACTAATTTAAAAAAAAAAAAGTTTTGCATAATAGTAATATCCCAAATTTTGCAACAGACTCGGATCGGAATCTGGCACAGATGGCTCTCCTGGAGCTGCAGATCCTGACACCATCACAAAGAAACATACACTGGAAGTAGGTTTTGGGTATTGCTGAAAACAAACCTGCCTGCCCTACCTAAAAACGTATTGCAGGCTTCTTGACCAGCAGGTCCTAGACTCAAGTTTTCAGCTTACTACCTGAAACACAACATCCAACCTCAATCCTTTCTCCCTTGGCAGTTCCATTCCAACCCTAACTAATGTTGGGGAATTTTTATCACACCCCATGAAGCAAAGTAAACATGTTTGTGCTTAACCAGAAAATGATTTAATAAACAATGGAGTGGACGGTCTTACCTCCATAAGTAGCTCTACAAAGAGTTTGCAAAGATGCAACATGAGACAATTCCTTATGTACTTTTGAACCCGCACCGATCACATGACCATCGGCATGGGGCACCTTAGCCCAGTGTTCAGTTCATCCCCCAGCATCAGCCCTGTTTCCAAAAGTGCCCCTCAGCATTCACATTCCAGGATGGATTGCTAGGAGACAAAGCTGTGACATTTCTTACCTCATTACCAAGGGAAATCACACTCCCTTACACAAAGTCCTTCTCTCTCTGGCATTTCTGCTTCCAGCAAGTTTAAACCATTCTGCAGTCAAACCTTGTTGTCGTCCATGCCAGATCATTCCTTGGTCACGAATTACCATTGCTGAGCAGTTACAAACTGAATTTCCCCTTCACTAACTACACTGTCAGATTTGTGTTCCCAGCTCACATTTGCCTGCCAGGTCTGATGTCTCCTTCTCATTCTCAAAACCAGCCTTCTTTTCCATTTCCCATTACCAGTTTTTTTCCCCGAGACGGATCTTCTTTACCTCTTTAAGCCTAATTAGACTTCTTAGCTTTACTTACACCTTCTAACTGGATTCAGGTTTTGTCCTCTGTGCATTTGTTACTAGAAAGTTTCCATAATAGTATAAAAGACATAGATTTATCCTCCATGATAACACCCAGTTCTTTCACCTTTAGAGCTGAGAGGAACTAGGAACAACATGCGAGAATTACAGATTGAGCCTTATTTCATCCTTAACTCCTTCTCTTAGTGCTGTGTAGATAAAAACCTGCTGAATTGCTCTGTGAAGCTGCTTTCCACCAAGTGGTCTCTTGAGACTGAGGAGGTCCAAAATGTGGATATGTGATAAATAATCAAACCTGAAATTTACCACAATTAACTGAGCATTTTTTTCTTGGTCTGGTTTTATGTCTCATTACTGAAAATGGCTAACATATTTTATCTGAAGAACAAGCAATATTAAAGAAGACTGCCTGTAGTGCACACTTATATACTATTACAACAATATTATTTGGAAAAATTGTGTTATCTTGGCAACTCACTCACCTTGAATTCTTCAACAATAATACTCAAGGCTTCATGTCCAGCATTTCTCATGTCTTCTAACTCCTGCTTATGCTTTTCCTGTACAAAAACATGGAAAGATTATATACAACATAGGCACCTGACATAACAATTTTAATTACGAGAGTAAAGACCAATTATTTTCCTCATTTTTGGTATCTTTCATGAAGAAGTGCACACATCTTGGCTCTTTAGATATTACATATATGCTCAATTCAAGTTGGTCATAGTATTAATCTTATTTTTCTTTATTTCTTAGTTTTACTTTATTAGTTCCCAGATAATTCTAAACAGTTCTCCAAATTTTTCAAAAAATTTGTTACTCTAATTTTTCTGGTTTCTTGGTATACCTGTGGGTGGCAGGATTTCCAAATCACTCTCTTAGTAAACGTTATCTACTGCCTATATTAATGAAAATGTTGAAACAGACTAGTGTCAGATCCAGCTTCCTCAGAAAAGCACACCCTTCTCCTACTCATTACATAGTTCCTTTTAAATCTATTTTTATTCTTAAGGTTCACAGGAAAGCATTCTTGTATAAGACATCTTGAATATATTTTTCAAATAAAGCTCTACTGTTTACTTCTTACTTTATTCCCGGTATTACATAAAGATAACATGGACAAGAACATTCTAATAGTTTTGCCTCTACATAGAAATGTTTGTCTGTGGTTTGCTCTCTGAGTCTGCAATGTGAACACCTCATTAGATTCTCAGCAGCATTTCATGCTTATCAATGAGCAGCACCGCTTTTTCAAATCACCAACTAGTAAGAAGATGAAAAACTTTCCCTCTTCCCTCATTTTTTGCTTCACGAATCTGTTCTTAAATCAGCTAGTACAGCAGGCCATAGGTGCTTGAAATCACCTTGGAAAACTGGTGCAGAAAAAAGAAAGACATTCATCGCAAACCTTACCTTGCAGTGATTACAGCGTAAAACCATACGCAACTTACGCTACATATTTATTGCTTTTTGGATGGAAGTTGAAATTAATTGACACGATTCCATATTTTCTAAGATCTTTATGCTTGAAATAAGCAAAACCTAGTGTCTAAAAGCATGTTCAATTTTATTATGAAAGGCCATATAACACCATTAAAAATAATCAGTCTGTAACTCTATCTTTGATCATAGGTTTCTGCTCTGCCATTCAGTTCTTTTCTCCTGAATGGGCCATCTCAGCAGAAAGTTTGAAATTATAGCTACACAAACTCCTTATTGTCGGCCCAAATATGAGACGTTGAGATTCTCTTGAGTAGAACTGGGTTTTTTTTGTGAAGCCCTGCAAGAACAACTGAAATGAAGCAGAAGAACTGAAAATGGAAATATTTTGAAGGTAAACAAACTACTACATCAGTTAACAATGCACAACAACTGGGTACGTCTGTTTAATCACACTGTGATGCATAGGTATCATAGACACCACAAACTAGGTAAACTCAGATGTTATACACTTAAAAAAAAGGGCTGAGCTAGAAATATTTTTACAGTACAAAACTACAGAATTGGTGTAAGGGGGGAAAATGTTATACAGTGCTTAACTCCAAAACTTCACAAATCATTAACAAATACATTCCCTGCAAAAACTGAGTGTGGGGGGAAGAGAAAAATGTAATTACTATAGTAGTATACCCTGGATTCATAAATATGAAAAAAGAATTATATATAAAGAAGTTGTTAATGGTCTTTAATAATTGTAACTGAAAAAAACCCAAAACAACAAAAACAAAATGGAAGAGTAAGCATTCCGTGATGAGAAATGCCTTTAAATGAGAAGAGTTAAAACAGTAAGATTTCCATCTGTCAGAACTGACCTGAAAGCAACGAGACAAAGTCGATGAAGTGTGTTGACTGAGGAAGTAACGTATTTCATTCCCCTAAAAAATACAGTGCCTCTCACTAGCATTACCAGGCAAATGAAGACACAAAGTGAAAAATGCAATTTGTCCTCTTACAGTAAATCTCTCAAGTTTTTCAGAATTAGTGACTTTCTCAGTCATATACTAAATGTGAACTGATCACACAAGTTGAAGCACCAACATCAAGGTATAACTACCAACATGAAGATTACACCCAACATATTTTAGAGTACTTACTTTCTTAAAACATTTCCTAAGTAAAGGAAAAGAGTCAGTAGCACAGAACTAATACCAAGACATCAGTTTTGCTTGGGTCAGGTCTAGCAACCAATTTCTACAACAGAGAGAAAAGAGAGAATGAAAGGGAACTACAAGCACAAAGATGAAAAGTTTAAGGTCACATTGCAATGCTCCCTCCAAGTAAGGGCTTTATGCAGTCTGACGAACACTACACTGTTTTTTCTCTGTGTCTATTTGCAAGATTTTTCAGCTAAGACATGAGGCCTGCAAGTTTATTTCTTTTAACTTGTAAGGGTGCATTTCAATTCTTTGCAGGTTGGCTGGCCTTTTTTTTTCTGAAAGTCTGTAAAAAAATGTTTCAAAATCTTATAGATACATCCCTCAAAGGAATGCATGCTTAGTCCTTGTAATAACTGGTAAGGAGAAGACCCATAGTCACTTTAAGTAGCACATTATGGAAGTGTATGTATAGATTTACTGTCTTAACAATGAAGACACATCAAAGTTCCTGAGTTTCATGATTTGGCTACAAACACAACAGAAACATTCCAAGAACAGCAGTATATGCATTTGATGAACAATGGTCATGTCAGTTCTTCACAAAACCTCAATAAAATGTGTACTTTTGATACAAAAATAAGCTGAATGATTTGACATAACCACTGTTGGAATTATTACTCTGCTTGCAAAAACAAAAAGGGAAGCTCTGTTAAGAGTTCTGAATGGTGTAGACCTGAAATTAAAATGTAATATTCATATTTCCTATCAAAGAGAGAAGAATTTTGTGGTTTCTGGCTCTTGTAGAATTCTCCTGCATGGTTTGTATGACTTCAAAGATGTTTTTTAAGAAGGTTGTTGTCCCCTTCCTTTACCTAAGAAAGGAATCAAACAGGATTTGAGAAGTTTTTTCATTTTGTGACTCATATGGGGAAATATGCCATGGCGAACCATTTATGCATAAGAATAAATGTTTTAATGGTACCAAATATATGTGCCTTCAGAAATACTTCAAATAAAATTTGAATGATAAGGATGAGAAAATGGGATTGAATTTTGAAAGCTTTTTTACAGTCTAAAACCCAAGTGACTCCGGACTCTCTTAGGCCCCTGTGAATCAAACCACTACAGAGGCAGATGGATCCAAATGCCTGATGAGCTGCCGAGAGGCGCCATTCCCAAGGACGCCACTGAGCAGAGAAGTCTTCTGAAGCGGCTGTGACAGCAGCAAAGGTTACTGACCACCCGCCAGCCAACTGCTTGTCACCGCCTGCCAACTGCATTAGTACTTCTTTCAGATCTTTTAGCTGAATTGCTTCTTAAATCATTTCAGTCTAACTGAACCATTGTTAGCATAAACAGTTTCAAGCAGGGTTCTTTGTTAACAACCAGCATTTCGACAGAAATGCAGGGCATGTGTTTGCGCGTACTGGGAAGTGTAAGGGTAACACTTCTCAGCAGAGCACTATGTAAGACCTGCAGTAAGAGGATTTGTAGGATCAGATAGTGGAAGAAGAGAGAGCAAAGACCTCAAAACTATTTTATTTTCTTATATTTATTTACCCTTAAGTTGATACATTTTTCTACTAACTTTCTAAGAGGCAAACTGTCTTGAATTGTTGGGGAAAAGTGCATGCCACCCACAGACTCTGCACAGATTCCCTACTAACCTTCCACTACGGCATGCCTGTATATGTCACACATGTTAACAGCAGTAAGTGAAAGAATATAAATGAAGGGAAGAAAAAGATACTCGCTGTCTAATTGCTTCTCATCTAATTCAAAGCAACCGCAATTCTTCTCCTTATCAAAAGCTGATACTTAGAAAAACTGTTTTGTCTCAATGCTCCTAACACGTATCAAAAACAGAAGCAAAAAAAGAAACTTCATACTTCAAATTAGGGCCACTGAACACAGCCACCTGAAAAGTAAGCAAACGCCTACGTATCAAAGTATCTTTTGATAATAATCAGCCCACAACAGTACACACAATAATAATTTCCCAATCCCAGTTCTACAGCAGGTATAACTAACATGAAAAAAACCCAAAGTTTTTAAAATAACTGAAGAAATTAATGTAGATCATGCCTATTGAATTTACGACATTTTCTCCACAGGTATTTTTTTTCCCCCCACTGATTTTCCGCTTGACATCAGAGCCAAAGAAATTTAATTTAATTCTTCCTCCTTTTTATTAGGTTATCAGTAATCACAACTTCTAACATTAAAAAAGATCACAGCAGTAATACACAGATGAGGCAAAAGTCAGTACTGCAAAGAAGCACTATGAGATCACATTTACATGTGGGAAAAATGATAGAAGAAATAAAATCAATTCAGAAAAAGATCCCAAATTTTTCCCACTTTCCCAAATAATCAAATATAATCCATAAGATAAAATCCTGTATTTTGGGGTCAATTAATAGTTTGTGCTTTTTATATTTCTTATTCATAAACCCTGTTAAAAAAAAAGTCAGGAAAAACATGCCAATAAAATTGTAAGTTTGCACAAAGCATCCAGGTTTTAACTGTACAAATGTTTCTGTAACAACTGTTAAGAGTCTTCTATTACTATATATAAAGTACAAGCCAGTTATCTGAGTTGATGTTGACTGCCTATCTTCCATGGTATCTGCAGAATTATCTGAAAGTCTGAGCCAACGTCTCAAAAAGTGATGTACTCTCTTCCCTCCTACATTTTCTACTAATGCAAACAAGCAAACTGTAATTCCCTGCAGGCGACTAAATCAGAAGACAAATTTTAACTCCACCTTATACTGTTTTGCTGTATACAATTACATGATTAAGATTCTTCATATTGGACTCAATTCCTCCATTATGTCAAGATTCTCCTCTCCACAAAAATTATCAGTTTTTTCTTTCAAAGCATCATTTTAAAAAATAATAAATAACATCTAGTATCATAATTAATGTGTTAAGTAACTGGTAACTTCTCATTTGAA